TTATCATCATTAATTATTTTATAAACGCCTTTTATTATTTTGTTTAATTTTTCATTATTTTCTCCTAAGATTAGGTTAACTTCAGGGATATAAAGATAAACAAAAATATTATTGGTACTATAGTTAACTACTAATCTCACTATATTAGGAAGAACTAAACTAAAATAATCACGAATTAATTTATCTTTTTCTAATCAATTGATTCGATCTTTCTTTCCCGCTGAGAAATAACAACTGTTTCAAGTTTGGTTATAACCAACGCGAATTGCATAAGGACTAGCTTTTTGTGCCATTATTTAATTTTATATTTTATTGTTTAACTTTTGTTGCAGTATTTTTCCTTTTGATCAAAAAAACAACTCCTATTCATAAGACAAAAATTGAAATTCCGATAACTCAATACTCTTTAGAAAAGGAATTATTTCGTAGCTGATTTTTTAGAGAGTTAATTTCTTGTTTTAATTCAAATATCCTTTTATAGTCTTTATTTTCCTCTCTCTCAAGCCTTTGTAATTCAATTTCTTTTTCTCTTAATATTATATTAACATTTTCATTTGTTGAAAGGTTAATAGCATTACCAGTTGAGTTATGAAAATCTCTATCTAAACGGCAGTCTTGACAATCACGGTGGCAATCTTTTAATTCAAATTCCTGCCTAATTCCACTCGGCACCTCGTTTTGAGCAGCAATTTGCTCGGCGGTTAAGTCTTGAAATTTTCCACCCCATCCGACTTGTTTGGCATTTCTACTTCTAATTACTTCTTTTAATCGGTCTTCATAAGAAAGGGCTTCCCAATATTTTTGGGCTTGGGCTCGGACTTCTTTTCGGTGCGGCTTTCCGACTTCCTTGCCTCATTTACAACCTCACTTTTCCAAACATAATTTTCCTTGTCCAGGCGGAACTAATTTGATAAAGCGACTTTGGTGTTTTTCCTCTTTTAACCACTCTCCATTTTTTATGCCATCTTCATTAAATCATTCAATTAATTGATTAACTTTCTTTATACATTTTTCACATTTGGTTCAGCCTTGGCTTAACTTATCTTTTCAGGCTTGGTATTTTCTGTTAAAAATATCCTCGGAACATTTTTTGGAACAAATAAATTCCACATTATTACTTATTCTTTCACAATTATAACTTACTCCACCATTACAATGAGGGTATGCAGGCTGTCCACTTCGCGGAAATTTTATATTAGCCACTGACCTTCCGCAACCTTCGCAATGAGATTTATTTTTGTAGCAATCTCAGCAGTAGATTTGACCATCTTCATCTCTAACCGGATAAGAGACAGTATATTCATTTCTAAAAACCCGCGGGTCTGTTTCCGCATTTTGGTGGCATTTCGCACACTTAATTTTGTTGGAACATGACATAATGTTAATATTATATTTTTTTACTTATTTTTCTATATATATATATATATATATTAAGAACACATATTATTTATTTTATAGTTTTTTTATTAATAGTTTGAGAGTTGTTTTCTCTTTTGGCTAAGCACAGATTAATCAAACTATATCTTTTTCTTATGCGATCAGTTCTCCCTTTTGCTCTATAAATAGCTCTTTTTTGGGTTCTTCCCTGGTTTATTTCAACCCGATCAAGATAGAAATCACTGGTGCTTTCTTTTTTTTTGATCAAACTTTTAGCTGCCCCTTGTAACAGTTTATAAAGAATTCGTCCACCCTTTTTT